GGGCCTGTGGCAGGTCTGGGAATGGGGGGGGCTCACCAGCTGGTTCCCTCCACACAGCAGCCCTTCCCTCTGAGTTTGTTTCTTGCCGTCAAAGAGGACCGGACAGGGGCACCTGGGAATCCTTCCCGTGGGCCCCCCAGGACAGAACAGACAACCCCCACCCACAGCTGCCTGGCACCCACCTGCCCTGGGCAGGAAGCTCCCTGTGGTTTGAGTGGGAGGTGAGGGGGTGGGGGGTGGGGCAGGCCCTCCTGATGGATCCCGGCAGGTGTCCGTAGTGGAGCCAGCCCCTTGCGACTTTGTCCAGCTGAAGGGGGGCCACTGAGGCCTAGAAAGCCCCGAAGGGCAGTGCTGTGGTAGGGAGGTGGCCCTTCTGAGCCGGCCCCCAGGAGAAAGGGAGTCCCTGTTTGCACAGCCCAGCCTGACAACTGCAACAAACATGGGTGGGGCTGAGGGTCTGGGGAACACTCCATGGGAGCAGATCACAGGAGGTAGGGCCTCATGAGCTTCGTCCTCGCCAAACCTGGGGGCTCTGGCCCGTGCCATCTAGGCCTCCTGCTTGGTACAGAGGAGGAGTGACCCCGCAGCCACTCCTAGGGAGTGTGGTCATCCCATACCTCCCCTCTGGGGTCAGGAGGAACCAGAGGCCAAGGAGCCCTGAGCCAGCTATTCCCAAGTCTCCGTAGCAGCCAGAAATTGGGGCTTGCATGTGAAATTCTTAATTTTCAATGTGGGCAAAAACTCCAGCGTAATGACGCCCGCGAGGTCAAGCCTGGCCCGCGAACTGCCAGTTTGAGACTCCAGGCTCTGAAATGGAGCTGACCGGGGTGCCCCCACCCCCGCTGAGCTCTGGCGGCCACACTGTCAGCTGCAAGTATTCCCTGGGCTCCTGTGGGCAGAACGGGTGTCCGTGATACAGCCCCCTCCCACCCCCAGGTCACCGGGAAGAGCTGAACCCGCTGGGCTGGGGGAGCTGCGGACCCGGCCTTCCCCCTGGCCGTCACCAGAGGGCGCTACGCACTTGCCATGGAGCAGGCTCTAGGGGCCAGCGGAGCCCCTCCTCTACAGAGGGGAGGGCTCTTGGGGCTGCACCAGCCTGGCCCTGGACACAGCTGGCCCAACCTCCCTGCACCCTGGGGTTCCTTGGGGGCACCCACCACTCACACTTTGTGGAGATCACGAAGCAACACTGGCTGGGCACCCGTGTCGTGGCTGGGCTGTGGCGGGGGAGGAGGTGATGACGAGCTGGCCCCTCGCTGGGGAAGCTGCCGGGGCTCAGGTGCAGCCTCCCTCGTCGCCCGAAGTCAGAAGGCACACGTGCGCACTGGGTTGCTGGGGCTCTGTGTCCCCTGGGAGGCCAGGGCCCTGTCCGTCTGCTTCCTGCTGCGCTCTGCACTGGGTCCAGACGGGACGTACGGGAGCTTCTGGCCGGCAGAGCCTGGAGCGTGGGGGGTGCTGTGGCGAGGCGAGCGAGGCTCGGCCTCCTTAGCAGCCCTCTCTGGTCCTCCTAGCCCAAAAGACCCTCCCCTCACAGATGCCCCTCACGTGGACGCGTAATTAGCCAAATTGGGACCACTCACAAGCAGCTTTGTAAGCTTTCTTTGTAAGTATTTAAGTATTCATCCCTCCATCTGTAAGCATTTAATGAGCACGGCGGTGTGCGCTCTGTGCCGCTGGGGGGCGTTCTTGTTAACAGCCTGCTGGAGCCTGCCTCAGTTTCCCCAGAGTGGGGTGAAGAAGTGACAGCAGCCAAGTCTCAAGAGTCCATGGGTTCATATTTGGCAAGTGCTAGGAGGCCCAGGAACCGGTGTCTCGGGGTCCCAATCTGGGAGGGCAGAAGGGCAGAGGGCTGGGGTGTCCATTAGACGAAACGGCACGTTGCCGGTGCTCTTTGGAAGTACCCCACGGGCATCTCTGGGCCCACAGAGGGGGCTGTGCATCCTCTCCTTGGGACACCCCACCCAGAGCACCCCAAGGTGCGGGCACCCCAAGGTCTCACACCGGTTGGCAGCAAGGGAGGGATTGGGGGTCTTGCCCAGCAGCAGAAGACAGAGCTGGAACGAAGTAGGACAGAGGTGCTGGGGGTCATCAGGTTTGGCTGTCCCGCCCCATCCACCGGGGAGAGTGATCTCTGTGAGGAAAGGAAAACCCTGCTGAATCCTAGGTTAGCAGAACTGAGGACATCCTCACTGCAGACACCATGAAGCTGAGGTCACTTGCCACTCTGGGCGGGACCCCCAGAGCACAATGGTGTTTGCGTGTGTGGCTCTAAGACCTGGGGCACGTCACCCTCTCTTTCCTAAGCCAACCGTCCTGCCACCCATGTCTGATCAGACATCTCAGTATTCTTTGAGTCCGGCAGCCCCTGAGGCTTAAACTCCGGGACAGTCACTGGTCTGGGGCCTGCCAAAGCCCTGGCCTCGTTTTGTCTTCTTGTTCTTAATTATATTTTTCACTCAGAGGGAGGGTGCCCAGACTGTCTGGGCTTCAGGGCCTCCAGCCTGGACTTGCCCCAGCTAGAGAGGGAGCAGGCTTCTGAGTGGAGGTCCGAAGGTGCCCCCAGAGCCCGTGCCGGAGGTAGCACCGAAGGAGGGACGGTGCCAGGGGCTCAGCGCAGCAGAGGCACTGTCTGTAGAGTCCAGGAATGGTGAGGAAGGATGGGGGGCTAACTGGATGGTGCAGAGGGATTGGGGTTTCCTTCTAAAGGCACTGGGGAGTCCAGAGCAGATTTAGGCAACAGACCTGCCTCACCCACTGCTGTCTCAGCGTCCTCATCATCTTCACCCACCCCCTGGGTCCTTGATATCCTTTCTTCTCCCACAAGCCAGGCACCATCCTGCCTCAGGGCTTTTTTGCACAGGCCTTGCCACCTTTCAGACACTCTTCCCGCAGATGTCCACATGATACCAGCCCTCTCTTCCTTCTGGTTTTCCCTCAGGGAAGCCTCTGGACATCGCCGCCCCCCCCCCCCCCCCCCCCCCCCCCCCCCGCCCCCGGCACCTTTTTCCTCCCTTTCCTGGCCTGAGTTGTGTGGCACTGGCCACCTTCTAATTATCTATGAAACGTAATGTTTACTGTGTTGACTGTCCCCTCTGCTTAACTACTGTTGGCCTGTGAGAATCAGTTCTGAATTCCAGCCCCTGATCAAGTGCTTAATGAAGATTTGTTGAATCAACGAATTGAATGAATGCAAAGAACACTCTGTCCTGGGCAGGTGGTGACAGGGTTGGGAGACGCACGCTGGTAGCCATCTGGCCCAGGGTGGAGTCTGTGGGAGGAAGGGGAGTTGTTGGGACCTGTGGACAGGGCCCCCAAGGCTCAGGAGGGGCCGGGACACCCCCCCCCCCC